TGCAGACTGACAGAAAGCAAAGCAAAGCATTAACACGTTAGGTATCAGTCCTTGGCACAGGCTGAGCAGTGGCTTTGTGGATACGTGTTGAAATTAGAGAGGTTCTGGGACAGAGGCAGGAGGTGATCACGGTGTGGAAACTGAGTGGAGAGGGAGAAGGGGCAGCCCTTGCACCTTTGCACCATCGATCTGCCTTGTCCTGGCTCAGGCACTCACCATCGCACCTGCACCATTGCCAGCAGCCTGTGTTACTCCTGTGTCTGCTTGTGCCTGTATTTCTCCCTGGCACACCCTTCATCTGCTGCAGGGCGAGCTAAGCAGACTTTTCATGCCTTGGCAACATTTCTCTGTGAATCCCCTACGTTCAGTACGAGGCAGGCAATTCATCAACGTTTGCTGAGTTGAGTGAATGGATTTTGGAAATGACCGACATTTAATGGAAAGTATGACCCTGTTTTAAAAGGGAGCAGAAAGAAAACCATAAAGTAAGAGAAGAGGAATTTGTGTGTATTTAAAACATCCTAAATAGTCCTGAGTTTTAAACATAAAAGAATGAATCAGAAATTCTAAGTAAAAAGGTCAGGATTAAAATTTTATGAAGGTTAGTTTGCTGTTAAAGACAGTTCAAGAGGTGACAAGAAACACAAACAGCAAAAATAAACTGCTCTTGCATTCTAACAAAGGGCGCCTTATTCGGAGGGAAGGATCTGATGTTGTCTCATGAGGTTTAAGGCTATTTCTACACAGAAGCTACAACTGGAAGATTTTTTTTTCCTTCCCATTCTTTATCGTGTTTGGTAACATTGCTGCTCTTAGAAATGAAAGTCTGAGAACTCAGAGGCCTCTTAGTTTTCCCCAGGAACTTATTCCTAAGAAACTAACGACTAGGAATGTAGTCCTGACCTAACTTTCATGGGGTACTTTATTGGATATCATTTCATGTACCTTAATCAAGTCAGCTAGCCTCCCGAACACTCATTTTCCCTGCCTGTGCCAGTCTTTGTTTAGGTAAGCAGTAAGTAAAACGTGTTCTAATAGTACTAACTAGAACTGTGGACTTAGAGCAGGAGGATTGGTTAGAATGGGAAAGCAGGCTGTTTGTCACCCAGGGCTCTGCCTTTGTCCTTCTCCCTTTCATCTCCTTCCTTTGACCAGTTGCCAAGTTGTTATATCAAGACATCACAAGCTCTCTCTCTCTCCTGGGGGCACACTCACACCTTTCTTCCCCCTTTCTTTCTCAGGTGTGCTTTTTCTCCCCCAAGTTCTAAGGGTCCCCATGAGACTTGCAACCAGGGGAGCAATGGGCAGTGGCATCTAGTCTTGACCCAGACTGAGCCCTGAACCTGTCCCCAAGGCTTCCTTTTTTCTGACTCTCCACTGAGCTGACAGCAGCATCACCTAGGCTTTCTCTGTTGCTGCTTCTCTCCTCACTAAGCCCTTTCTTGTTTTGTTCTCCCCAGCTTTAATAAATGTACTCTCCAAAAGATAAAGACATCACAAGCATTTGCCCACAATTTATGCATTTGCTGTCTCCATTATAAGATACATTTTAATGAAGATCATTAAAAATGGGCAAAAAATAGATGAGTGGATAAAAAAGCTGTGGTACATTCATACCATGGAATACTATGCAGCAGTAAAAAAAGAATCTCTTATCTTTTGAGATAGAGTGGAGGGACCTGGAGAATATCATGCTAAGTGAAATAAGTCAGTCAGAGAAAGATAACTATCGTAGGTTCACATTCATATGTGGAACCTAAGTAACAAAATAAACTGATGAACAGAGTGGATCCAGAGACATGGAAGCGTAGAACAGAGTGCAGAATCTGAGGGAAGGCGAGGGAGGGTGGGTGGCGGGGAGGTAATCAACCAGAGACCATATATGTATAACCCATGGACATGGACAATAGGGTGCTGAAGGCCTGGGAGGGAGCTTGGGCAGGCTGGAGGGGATCAATGGGGGAAAAAGGTGGACACATGTAATACTTTCAACAATAAAGAATCATTTTTTAAAAATGGGGAAAGGAAATGTTCTGAGAGGCTAAATGACTTGACTAAGGTAAATGAAATGATATTCAGTAAATTAATTTCTTGGAAGCCCTTTTTCTTGATTTTTTTTTTTTTTTTTTTTTGTGTGCTCACTCTTCTTTGGGCTAGTTTTTATTTTAGTGATTGTTTTATAGATATTAGTGTGAACTGTAAGAAAAAACTCTAGTTTTTCTTCTCTTTGTTGACTGGATTTCACGACAGTACATTTCAGTGTTAGATTCACAGATGGCTTCAGTGGTCACTGTGGACAGTTTTGTTAAAACACTTCATGATAGGTAAAACATTGTAGTAGCCATTTGAAGCTTTAAAATATGAGCTAACATCATGTTTATTTCAAACATATGTGCTATATGATATATACAGCTAGAATTCTCTGGACATTTGTAAGGAGGAGAGGTGATAATGATAAGGCTTACTGAAGGAGAGGAAGTTTAATTAGTACTTGAAAGGTGAAAATAATCTGATCATGTAGAGACAGGAAGAAAAACTATGTCTTAAGGAATCTACAAACAAGCTGAGAACTAATATATTCAGCAAGATTGCAGGATATAAGTTCCATACACAATAACCAGTTTATAAATGTAGTCACTAGGGAAATAAATGCAAACAAAACCACAGTGACATACCATTTTGGACCCCCTGGGATGACTATAATAAAAAAGATAGACCCCTCAGATGTTGCTGGTAGGAATATAAAATGGTATAGTTGCTTTGGAAGACTGTCCGTATCTCAAAACATTAGGCATAACCCAGAAATTTCACTCTTAGGTATATAACCAAGAGCAGTGGTTAGCAAACTGCGGCTCGCGAGCCACGGTTTGCCACTCTTTTGATTAATGAGTTTGCCGACCACTGCCCAAGAGTATTGAAAATAAATGTAGCTGTAAAAACTTGTATACAAATGTTCATTATTCATAATCCAAAAATTGGAACAACATAAATATTCATCAGCTGCTGAATGACTATAGAGACTGGTATATATTATCTATACAATGGAATATTATTTGGCAATAACAGGGAATGAAGTTCTAATACATGCTACAGTGCGAATAAATCTTGAAAACATTGCATCAGTGAAAAAAGACAAACATAAAGTGCTATATTGGATGATTCCATTTACATGAAATGTTCTGAATATGCAACTCAACAGAGACAGAAAGTAGGTTGGTCTGAGGAGAGAGGGCAATGGGGAGTGGCAGCTAATGAATACGTGTATTACTGGGGAGAATGGCAGTGAAAAAATGTTCTGGAATTAGTGGTGATGGCTGCTCAATGTTAGGAGTATATTAAAAACCACTGAATCATAAAAGGGGGACAAATTGGAAGTTCTGTGTCATTCTTTAATGAAAAACTAAGTATGTCAGTATACCATTCTAGGATGAGGGGCCTTTATTATTTTTCACTGTCCTTTTCAAAATAAGGGTTTGAAAAGTCGCTTCCTCTTCACATTGCAGCAGTTGCATCGTCTTAGTTTTGCTTCATGAAGGTATTTTAAATCCTGCCATCACAGAGCAGTGTTTCTTGGATTCCATCAACGTTTGATGCAAATTAAATTTTAAAAATATATTTCAAATTATTTAAAACATGGAATATGAAACAGTTTGCACACTTAGATGTATTACTGATCGTAAAATTTTGCATAATTTGAATAGCAGCTGAATAACATATTAATTCATGTTTTCAAGTTACCTCATTTTGTGCATGTCTTGGAATCAAGTCTTTCATGTTATTTCAATGTGTAGTACCAGACATTTGTCAAATACTTCATTCGATAGGACACGTGCAGTTATCAGTGCTTTAAAAAAACAACAACAGTGCCTGACAGGCGTTGCTCAGTGATTGAGCACTGACCCATGAAGTAGGAGGTCTCGGTTCGATTCCCAATCAGGGCGTTTGACTGAGTTGCGGGCTTGATCCCCAGTGTGGAGCGTGCAAGAGGCAATTGATCAATGATTCGCTCTCATCATTGATGTTTCTAACTCTCTATCACTCTCCTTTTCTCTCTGAAATCAGTAAAAATACATTTAAAAAACACAAAACAGTAGATGTCCTCTTTCAAAACTTTGTCAATGTAAGTATATACACATCTAGTATAGATGAGGGTTTTCTTGATATAAAGAAGCCAAAATGAAGTTCAGAAGAAACTGGAAACTGGGGCTGATATGACTGTAACTGTTATTCATAACTCCCCCACCCCCAATTGAATTTTTTGTTCATGAGAATATCTTCCTTGTTCTCACTGACTGCCATTTGAATAAGAAAATGTAAATTTGATCTAATATTTTAAATACATAACAATTATTGTTTTCACTGCTTCATATATTGGGATTCTGCATAAGATACCATTTAAATTTTATGCATTTGGGATTCTGGAAATTTTTCTCCACATATCAAGTTTCCTATTCAATTTTGACTTCACTCCTATTTCTCAGGGATGTTCTGAAAGCATTCCCTTCCCCACCCCCCACAAATCAAACAGGGAGGCTTCCTGCTCACAAAATATTTACTGACTTTAAATAGCTCACATCTTTTTTTTTCTGAGGCTCTATCTCGGAGCTTGTGCCGCACAAATATTGTTGGCTGGATCATAAGGCTATTGTTGCTATGTCCAATATAAATATTTTAGTTGGTGTTTCATGAGCAGTATTTGGAAACTGATCCGTATCCTTGTTTTAATCTCTTTTTGCACATGCAGCAACTGAGCTGCATGTGTGGGATTTCATCCCAGGTAGGTTTAGGTATGGCCCGTGTCATTAGATTGTCTCCTTCTCTGCCAAAACCTGTGTGGTAAGTGGCAGCGACCACTGGCAAGGTTACGAGAGGTGTTAAGGGGGAAGGAGACAGTGAAAGAATCAAAGATCACTATGTGCCTGATAGGTGTGGATATTTATTCACACACATTGAACCTGTTGTTCAAAGCCAGTCACATGCCCATTCTGCTCTCTTCATAGGTGATCATGGAGGAAGCACGTTACTCCCACCGAACGTCACCAATGAGTTTCCAGAATATGGGGCCATGGAGGACGGTGGAGAAGGCCTAAGAACTTCTCTCGAGTTTGATGCAGAGTCTCTGCCATGCTGCCCGCAGGGGCAGCCGGGGGTCCAGCCTCATGCCGGCCACCACCCTGGGCCCAACAGTATTACAGAAGGACCAAAAGCTGTTGCGGAGCCCTCCTCTCAAAGTCACCTCAAGGAACAAAGTTTACAACCCATAGACTCTTTGATCTCAGCTCTGAAAGCTACAGAAGCCAGGATAGCTTCTGGAACGTTACAGGCTACAAAGGTACTGGACAAAGATGCCGTTTCTAGTCTCTCGGTTCAGCAGGTGGACAAAGAGCTGGACGCTGCCGGTCATCAAACACAGACAGCCAACAACCTGTTCCCTGCCGGCCAGGAAAAACCACCAGATATACCTCTTTCAGTGGAAGTGACGACAGCCGAAGGTGTTCTTTTGCGCGCCCAGGAGGACCTGACGGCGCTGTTAAGTGGAGAAGCTCAGGGGGAGCTTTCCCGGGTAACTGCCAATGGGAGGAAAGGGGGTCTCCGAGAGCAGGAGCCAGCTTGTCCTGGGTCCTCCCTGAGGGGCCCAGCAGCAGCCCACAGCTCTGCGGGCAGCACTGGCTTCCTGAGAGAGGGGAGGTCTGACCTGCAGAGAGAGCACGCAGGGGGATGTGATCGAGGCAGCTCCACGGGACGGCCTGGCCGGGTCAAACACGTGGAATTTGAAGAGGTGGAAATATTGTGGACAGGAGGGAAGAAAAGAGAGACCCGGCAGCCTGCGGATTTTGTGACATCCTTGGAAAGGACTACCTCTCCCGAAAATAAGGGGTTTTCCAAAGTGCCAAGCCACCTCATCTCTTCTGCTGGTTTGTGTAATTCCGTTGGTCTCACTGAGCGTGCTGGGGGCGACACCTGGAGAGGTGCCTCAGAGAGGCCTGCCACCAGCTCGGGGACATTTCCCTCCGCACCTCTTATTGAGAGTGGAGAGGATGAAGTCTTCCTGAAGGAAAACAAAGACCATCTTGAGGAGAAGCCTGAACTGGAGAGAGACAAAGACAGGTGAGTTCCCATAGTCCTACCGTCTGTGCTGCCTGATACCTATAGTTGGTGAGACTTATCATTGCTTGGCTTTGAGAACTCAGCTCATAATTTTCTGGGTCCTTTTTATCAAACAACAGAAGAGAAGTTACTGTAAGCTAGGTTCCTTCTAGATATTCAGGTGATCTTGTTATCAAGTTGTCCATTAGGCATAAACCAGAAAAAGCAGAATGATGGAGAGACTGTGAATGCTAAACTATGTGAATCCACTTCTGACATTTTGTTATATTTGACAGGCTTCAAGTTTCACAACATCAGGGTAACTACAACACCCCACAATTATCTATATATGTAAAAGTGTAAGTGACTGTTCTACCAGTAACTATGATGTACACTGACCACCAGGGGGCAGACGCTCAGTGCACAGGCATGGAAACATGGGGCAGACTGATGAATCTCAGAGAGAAGGGGGAAGAAGGGAGGGTGGGAAGAGATTAACCAAAGATCTTATATGCATAGTACAGTCTGGTGCACAGATTCATGTACTGATGGGGTCCCTCAGTCTGGCCTGCAGGGATCAGATGGAAACTGGAAGTCCAACATCCCCCGAGTGGTCTCAGATTACAAGAGGGCGTAGGCCAGGCCAGGCCAGGGGACCCCACCAGTGCATGAATCCATGCACTGGGACTCTAGTCTTTAGTATTAAAAAAGGATTTGGACTCTTTTTGACATATCCTGTAGTCATTGTATCCTAACTGAGGCATATTTTCTGGGTGCAACACCAGTGCCTGCATTCAGCCTACACACATATATGAACACAGAGGTTCTGAGTGAGGGGTTGGCTCAGTGTTTGAGGTTTAGAGAGGAGGTCAGGAAGTCAGGAGGCCAGAAATACGACTGTATAATTCAGTTGTTCTGTGGCATTCACATGAGAATCCCTTCTCACAGGAAGAGCATGTTTTGATTATGTCCCTATTAAGTAAACTCAGTATCATATGGTATTTCCTGATCTTTCCATTCATTTCTGACATCACATCCACACCAGCTTAGAGCCTGGGTCCATGGGAGACATGCCTCGTCTTTCTCCATTTCCTGTGTGCGTTGTCTGGCCATATAGAGCTCCTTTCAGCAGTCACCTGAGGCACCATTTCAGATTTGCACCACCTTTTCTGCCCTGTCTTCATGATGCCACATTTTGTTGTTCTTATGGGAGAGCATCAGTGTCAAAGCTGAAGGACTTTTTTTGGTTGGTTAGGATAGGAAAATGTCTTCCTCTGTAATTAATTATAAGTACAAGGAGAGTGAGGCTCCTTTGAAATGGCTATCAGGGCTCCTCCTCTCCACTCCCCCTGTCCCACCCCCTCAACACATAAAATATCCAGACTTCCCTCAGAAGCAGCCTTGATAGGTGGCACATGACTCAGCAATTACATTTCCATGGGATATGTACTTTTGCTGTTGTGCAGATTATTTTTTTTTTTCCTTTCCTCCTTCCTTTTCTCCCACAAATATTTTTTTGATTGTCTTCCATGTCCTTGACAATGCTAGATGCTGGGCATAAAGGAATGTTTAAAATAGACACCGCCACCCTGTCTGGTTTGGCTCAATAAATAGAGAGTTGCTTATGGACTGAAGGATCCTGGGTTTGATTCCAATCAAGGGCACATATCTTGGTTGTAGGCTTAATCCTTGGCCCTGCTCGGAGAGTGCATGCAGAGACAACCAATCGATATGTCTCTCTTACATTGAGGTTTCTCTCTCTGTGTCTCTCCCTCTCTTTTCCACTCTCTCTAAAAATCAATGGAAAAACATCCTCCGGTGAGGATGAGCAAAAAAAAATACCAAAACAAAAAATAGACACAGCCCATGGTCACTGCCCTCATGTAGTTTTCTGCTGAAGATAAACATTGACCACATAAACACATTAATAATTGTAGAACCACAAATGGTGCTAGGTTCTGTAAAGGAGGGAAACACACTAGAGAGAATCATTTGGATACAGGAGAGGCTAATTCATTTGGTGACTTGAGCAAGGCCCTCCTTTGGAGGTGAGCAAGGCCCTTGAGCAAGGCCCTTCTTTGGAGATGACCATTAGGCTGAGCCTCGAGGAATGACTGAGAGTTAGCCAGGCAGAGAATGGAGGGAGAAGAGTCCAGGGAGAGGGGCCCACAGGGCAGAGAAGGCTGCTGGATTGCCTGGAGTTGTGTGAAGCAAGGGCCTTATGACAAGTTTGAAGACGACACTCCACCAGTGCGGCTGGAGCATAAGGAGCTGGGGAGAGCAGTAGGAATCAGGAGCTTTATCATGGGAACTTTTAATTTATTCCAAGTACAGTGAGAAGCCTTGAGAGACAGAAACCTTCTTGGTACGTGGTAGGCCTTTAGCCATTTAAAAGCAGCCAAGACAATTGTTGAAGGTGAATCCTGGCAATATCTAGGAGGAATGTAGATTACTTAAGAGGTATTTTTATTCCTATTTTTATTTTGTTTCTACTTATAGGAATCTGAGGCTCAGAGAGGGTAAGTTAAGTTGCTAGGTGACATAGCTAGCACTCAGCACACCCAGAATCCAGCTCCAGGTTTTTCTAATTCTTGACCTCATGTGCTTAACTGAGTTTTTTACCTAGTTATCCTAATGTTCATTTTTAATATTTGAAGAACCTGATACATATTAATTAATGCCCCACACCCCTGTATATTAACTTACAAGTTTTTTCTAGGTTTTCACTGTTTTGGTTAGCCTTGTGGTGAACATGTCTGTGGGCTTTTTTTTTTTAAGGTCATTCACTGTCTAATTTTGGACTTGGAATCTTTCTGCAGTGCTGTCTTGTTGTCAGCAGGGGGCAGCCCTCGGATTCTAATGTAGTCATCTGCTTGTGGGTGCTTGGCCTTTAAATCAGAAACTATTAATAGACTGATGAAAGCTTAGTGTATTTTTACTCCATTAAGTGTACACAACATATTTACTTGCTTCTGTTAAAATTAAGCATGACAGTAGCTGTTAATTATTTGAATATGTGGAGTTTAGTTGGCTAAAATGGAAATACTTCATTGAAGTATTCATTGGATGAATGTGTTCACATACTAGGAAACTAGTTTGAACCTATGTTAAATTATTTTGAGGGTAGTGTAGCACATGCAGGCTGTGTTTTTCAACCTGAACTTGTTTCTATGGTATCTTCTTTCCTATATATATTCAGACATAAGCCCAGTGAATACAAGTGTTAGCTCTACAAAATGTTATTTTTTTATATGGTTGAAGGAGGCAAAAATCAAAACAGAAAAGTTCACCTGATATGGAAATTCTTCGTTCTCGTTTCTCTGCAGGCTTCTTGACCACGAGGAGCACTTTGCGGGAGGAGAGGATGACATCCTTGGGCCCGGGTACACGGAGGACTCCACGGATGTGTACAGTTCCCAGTTTGAAACCATCTTGGACAACACTTCCTTATATTACAGTGCTGAGTCCCTGGAGACATTATACTCGGAGCCCGATAGCTACTTCAGCTTCGAGATGCCCCTCACCCCCATGATACAGCAGCGCATTAAGGAAGGCGGCCAGTTCCTGGAGAGGACGTCGGTGGGGGGACAGCAAGACATCCTGAGCGTCTCCGCAGACGGCAGGATCGTGATGGGCCCTTCCAGCGAGATCACCAACGGGCTCAGCGGCGCTGGGGAATCCATCTACACGAAGGGCGCCCCGGAGATTGCCTTCTGGGGAAGGTACTAGTCCCATCTCTGTTTTCATGCTGGTGGTTTTTGTATCGTTTTCTCTTTGGGAAATCAGAGTGGGATATATTTGAAAAGCATTTGGTCTGTGGTTATAAATGAATGATGTGAGTAAGACATAATTTGGGTGTGAGGGGCAGGTAGAGCACCCCTTAGTGGTTTGCCAAATGGGCAAGCTGCGGTCCCTCATTTATTGGATAACCGTGTACACAGCGGCCACACCCCTGAGCAGGAGGAGTAGATGTTAGCTCTGATGACACAGCTTTAGAGGCAGAGCCTGGTGCTGGTAAAGGACACGGATAGGTCTCGGCTCTCATTCTGACACTGACATCGATTGATGAGTTGGGCAGGTTGTTTGATTCAGCCAGAGATTCCTTAATGGAAAGCTGAAGGTGTGGATTAGATGGTCACCAAAGTCTCTTGCAGCCCTTTGCTCTGGAAGGTCTTTATTGCTGGGCCGGCAGGGCAAGGATCTGATTGTGTGGGTTCTGGAGAGAGCTGATACTTCGGTCAAGACTATACATACTCTCTCTATGTTAAGATTTGCCTACCTGGGGGATAAGATGATATTATGTGGGTTCTGTGTGCCATACCTGTCATTTAGTGATCCTTATTTAAGGGTTACCTAGCACTTCATTTCCTCTTGCTCATCATCCTCAGGCTGTTTACTTGTTCTTTATCATCTCCATTGGTGGGCAGAGCATGCTAAACTTCCCAAAGATTTTATGGACTTAGTTTGGACATAGTTTTCCTAAATTCAAGTGTGTTAGTGTGTGTTGGTGGAAGTGGCAGAGAGGTTAAATAGGGATAAATTGTTTTAAAGCTCAGTGCTTTTATTAAATGTCAGTATTCATAGTACAGTTTTTCAAGGAACTTCTTTTTATGAGCGATTCATCTTATATTAAACATTTTCTATCACCAGTTTGTTTATGGTTTATAGTTTGTTGGATGAGCACATTCAAGACTGGGACATTATAACATGTAGCTGTGCGTTTCCATGTGAAATGGACCACAGATGTTGGTTGTCTTTTTGGGTCACAGTGAGATAATGAAAAGAACACAGGTTTCAAAAGCAGAAAATGTTGGTCTGAATTACTTGGGCAAGCCACTTCTCTCTGACACCTGCTTTATGTATTTGCAAAATAGGGTTATTGATCCCCAGTGCTCTGTGTGACTGTGAAATTTAAAGAGCTAATTGAGATTCAAATACTCAGCAGAGCCCCGGTTGGTGTGGCTCAGTTGGTTGAGTGTTATCCCGTGCTCCAAAAGATGGCCATTTTGATTCCTGGTCAGGGCACATGCCCGGGTTACAGGCTCAGTTCTCAGTGGGGGAGGGAGGCGTGCAGGAGGCAACTGATTGATGTTTCTCTCACAGCAATGTTTCTCTCTCTCTTATTCTCCCTATCTATCTATCTATCTATCTATCTATAAAAATTAATAAAAAATATTGTAAAAATAAAGTACCCAGCAGAGTACCTGATATAAAACAAGAATTTGAGTAAATGTGTGACTCAACTGGATGCTGATAAGCCCACATTTAGACTTCCTGTATCTCTGAGATGGGGCATCCCTGAGTGGAAGGTGCTACTGACAATTGTGATACAACGCTATATAGCACAGGCGATGCAGAAATTTTCATTGAAATTCCAATCCCACTCTCTGGGACAAGTGAAAGTTACTTTTCTTACAGACCCAGATAGGTTGGGGAGCTGAGTGTCTTAAGCCAGTAGACTTTCTTACAGAAGCCACAGGGAGGGTAAGTAAATAAAAATCTCAGAGGCAGAACAGGAAGGACTGGGGTGAAAAGTGTATCTAAAGTGTGGTCTGCTCTCTTGGATTAGGAAGCCATCATCCTTGGGGCCAGCTTAAGTGCCATCATTAGCAGGGCAGAGTTGGTTAAGGAGGTGTGGGGGTAGGTTAGAGTATTTTAGCACCTCAGGTTGAGACAGTGGTGTACTTCAGCCTCCTCGAGGTAAGGTTTCAGCTGCGTCACGCGCATTGTTGGACCATGAGATCTTGCCCAACGATAAGACTGAATGAGAAGCATCTTAGAGAGGGTCAGCCGAACTTCTCACCCAGCTCTGGGCACCTTTCCTCATGTATATATCTGTATTCAGGGTTCAAAAAGATAGGGCAGTCTCAATGATTTAAGAATTTTAAAGAAACTGTGATAACTTGCATGTAGTTGTTTTTTTTTAACCCTCTCTGCCTCTTGGTGCCTTGGAGAAGTTGCTGCACCAGAAGAATTGTAATGTAGGTAGAAGGATTATGACATTTTCCAGCTTTTGAAGTGGGGCCTTAGATAGCCTTGTTTTACAGCCAAGAATCTGAGGACCAGTTTGGTGGGATGGATTTACCTGGTGATAGATTCTGTACCAGAATTCAAATGGCCTGCCTCCTAGACCAGGGATATTCACTATTTTAGCTGCCTGGTCTCATCTTTATCCTTTCATTTGATCTAATTTCTCTCAGTGCTTTATGTTTATAGAGCCAAAAGTCTGAGCTGGTGATTACAGAGCCGCTTTTTGTTGTTGGTGGTGTGTTTCAGTTGGAGAAAACATTTACCAAATCGTTAATAAACATGTCTCCATAAATTTTAAAGCAATCAATGAGCCGGCTTTTAAAAATGTCTTCTGCATTGAAGCATTCTTCTGCAGAGGTAAGGAGGCAGACACGGAGGTATTGAACCTACGAAGGGAATCTGGACTAAAATGCTGACTGTACAGTAGTGAACAGGACTGACTTCCCTCAGCCAAGACTCAGAGCTACAGGGATAGGATTCAAGGAAAACAGATTTTAACTGTGTATCAATAAACGTGACATCTACCCAAGAAAAATAATAAACAAAACAAGGACACATGCCTAGCATTCCATATCTATTCGCCAGCCCCTCCTGTTTTCTTGGCCCTGGACTGGGCAGGGCTGGGTGGGGGAGGAGACCTGACTGAATAGGATAAAGTAAACTCTGAAGAAGGAGAACAGGAAAGGGGATGATACCCATCTCCCTTCTGTGATGCTTCTGTCATTCCAGCTTGACATGATCCAAGAAAATTAAGCCCATCCCTGTTGAGGTATTGATTTTAATGTTAGTTGACAGCCATAGAAAATATTATAAAATACTTTAGGTAAGTCTCTAAACACAGTTTTATATCATATGCATCCCATAGGTTTTATTTATTTAGTACACATGTGTCAAACACAAGGCCCGCGGGCCAAATCCTTCCCGCCAGGCCTTGCAATGTGGCCCGCACCACGCTGTCATCACTGCACTCCACTGCGTTTCCATCACAATGACAGTTTATGACTATTCAGTAAACCATTCGGCCCGAGATTTAGGCTGGATTTTAGATTTTGGCCCCTTCTCTGATTGAGTTCGACACCCCTAATTTAGTAAATACATGGTGCTTAATTCTCATTATAAGCTGGGAGAAAGGAACTATTAATGTCTTCATTTTCCAGACAGGAAACTGAGGCACAGAACAGTTGAGCAACTTGCTCAAAGACATATAGATAGTAAGGGGCATACCCAGGACTTGAAAAGACATTTGTTTGGCATTGCTTATGTATTTATTTTTTTAACCCTGTTCTGTTTCAGTAAGTGCCGTTAATCGCTGAAAATGATTTCAGTGGTAGTATTTGATTTCCCTTGAACTCAGGAGACACTGTTCTCCATTGCTGCTGCTTTAAAGAAAGGTAGAGTGTTTGGAAAGGTGATAAGGATGTTGAGCACATCTAGTTCCCCCTCAGGAAGTACCTTCCAGTCTGGGAGTGGCCTTGCTTTGCTGGCTAAAAGCTAGAGGGGGATGTTCTTCCTGATTACTCTCTCCACTCAAGTCACAGAAGGAAATATTCAAATCTGCAATATTCTCATATCAGAAATGTTTAAAGAGTCCGTGTGCTCACTGTCTTTTAAAGGATTATATAACTTTGTGATACCACCAAGTTCACTCTTCATAAAGTGAAAACGTCTTTTAAGATCCTGGAGTAAATCTAGACAGGAAGAATTAAATTCTCTCAGGTGCTCTGAGCACCGAGTGTGAGCCAGAGAACCACATGTCCACCAGGAAGTAGCTCGCCCTGTGAATGTAACACAATATTTTAATGAAGGAGCGGAGAGTCGCATCCCCTCCCTTTGTGGTCCAGCTACAGAGCACTCAGGCTGGTGGGTCAGCGGTGCTGTGTGAAGTCCAGTCACATGGCTCCAAAATTAGAAAGGATAATTAAAGACTTACAGTAATACATGTTCCAGTGGGTTCCTTTGTGTCTGGGTGCTCCTCTCTCGTCGGCCCACCAGCTGATGACTGCAACTTCAATCAGTAAGTTCTGACCCGGAGGCTGTCAGGCACAGATGTTGTCATTGTGACAGCGGAATATTGCCCATGACTGTGGAGCTTAGGTTCGGACAGACAGGAAAAGAGAGGTAGCAAATAAAGTGCTCTGGCAGAAGCTTCTCTTTTGGTTCTCTGAGATATATAAAACCTCCTTTTAAACTGACCTTTTTAGTGTCATAGATACATTTTACGTCTCAGCCTCCCAGCTTTTCTCTCGGATATGGCTGAGGATACCGAATGCTCAGGAGACCAGTGCAGCAGAGGAGGTGGATTACATCTGTGTGCCACTGATATGCCTGAGGAGAGCGCTCCGCTCTGAATTTGGTCCACTCTGAATTTGATAGTTGTGGTTTGGCGCCTTCCTCTTGTTTTTCCCCCTTCTCAAGTGGAATGCTGGCATTTAGAAGGATCCTCTTTCTTCCTCAGCTAGTCTCTCTCGTTAGTGTCTTTCTGCCTGGGAAAAAAGTCACATGAGACAAGATGAATACAGACATTTGTTGATGTATGATTTCTATAATTTTTACATCCCCAATTTAAAACCTGCAGGCATTTTGTAAATACTAACATCACGTGGTCTAGTTAAGAAGCGGGTGGCAGAGGAACAGATTTTGATCTTGTAAAACTGCCTTTGGAGAGCTGGCTGATCACGGAGCTCCCGGCTCC